AGCAATGGTGCTTTGATTCTTCTTCCATAGTGAGCGATTTAATTTCGGAGTTTACTCAACAGCAGCATATGAATGGATAAAGTTTTAAGATTTTTACTTCGTTCAGGATGAAATGAATGCAAACACATAATTCATATTATTGCTAAAATTTTATTGTTGTTGTTACAGTGTTGATGTGTGTTACCATGATGATTTAGCGGAGTCGGCGAATGTCCTTTTTCTTAACTATTCAACATTCTCTTTCCATAGGAAGTGAGCTATGAACGCGAATCATTTGCCGATGAGACAGTAGCAGAACGAACACCTGTTTGCTTTATAATCCCGATGTAAGACGTTTCACTATCGCATCTCCTTTCAGTTGTTGGTTTCACCACAGTCTCATTTGTGGCTATCTGCTGATTCGTTGTTTTGTAAGCGATTTCGTTTATTCGCCCGTAATGGAAAGGAAGGAACCGTGCTAGTTATTTCGTTTAGTTTCTTTAAAAAATGGGCATTCTTAAGGAAGATTGGCTATCGGCAGTGCTACCGAGTAATTTCAGAACAGGAGCTGAATGATGTCAGCTTGGTTTCAGTCATTTCAGTCATTCAGCAGTCAATGTCATTAAATGTCAGCTTCTCATTAACATTATTGAAAGTTTCAGAGTCTAAGCCGCCTATGCTCTCATACTCGATTAGCTTAGTGCTGTTAGCTGCTGCCTGCCTCATATGTTAAATTACATATTAAGTCGGTTACTCGATTAATGGGCTATGCTAATTGAAGTAGTGTTGTTGTTTGTGTATGTAATGTTTATAGTTCGCGTAAATAATCCTCGTTCAGTTATATACAACAAACAGATAGACTCATGATCATGCAACTGCATTGTGGATAGCACAATTGTTATTGTTATTCGCTTTCATGTGTTTATTACTGCTTGTATCCCACTACATACCATCCTATGAACAATCCAACCCTTTCAAATCCATCCGATCCATTCACTCTTCGCAATCCCAGTGCTCGTATTCAAAGGTTCATCCCGTCCTCCCCTGTTGTCTGTACTGATCCACTAGTCGGTCGCTTGATCACTAAGTTATCTTCATATACGATAACTTTCTCTACTCGCTAAGTCTATATCCTCTTTAACAATCGATATTTAACGGAGATGTCTGTCTTAATCTGGATTAATTTAACGGCAAAGAAGGGGAGATTTCAGTGGGCTTCTAATGAGCTCTACAGGGATTTCTGTGGGATAAAGTCATCTTTCAGACAGAATAACGTCGTTCAGAATATTGTGAAAGGGTACGTTATTAATATGGTAGCAATGGCAACAATAATAATAGCTTAATATCAATTAAAGGTCTCCTTAGGTCACACACACACACACACGAGTATAGCTCACTGGTTGTTTGGTGTGATGTACCAGCAGTATCGTTCGTTTAATGAGGTCACCGTCGGGTCTCGATTGCGCTCTCCGTTTTCACCTTATCTAATCTACTTCGTATTCATTCCGTATAGAGACAGATACTTTCGTCAGCTAGACATATACGAATGATAGACGACAAGTGCACAGTTACAGTTATCAGTTTGATTATGATTATTATTGCCGTTAAAAATGGAATTATTACTACTACTAATAATACTACTACTGTATCGTATGTATTACTATATCAACTGTCTTATCATATTATCATTGACTGATGATATTCTATGGTTATTCTTTGAGGTGTACAGTAACTTTGCTGGAGTCTATTCACCGTAGTTTATTGTGATTCATCAGTTCTATGACAGTTTTGTCTCTGTGCTACATTGATGGTAGTTATTCACGGTAGCATATCTAGTTTATAAATAAGTAACGAAATTCCTCATTTCCGAGGAGGTGGGATGCGATTCTGGTTTCTCCATACCATCGAAGAGCTTTTGGTTCAAGCAGATTGCTTCCCTAAAAGTCGATTCTTACGTTTATTTCCCACTTTACAGTGCGGTTTTCCTTAATAGAAACCTGACACTCACCTGTTATTTCTGGCATAATATTATAGTCGGATTTATTCACTGATAAACTGTCACTGATTTATTTCAAAATGAAAATTTATTTTTTCCCAACTTCCGAAAAAATCTCAAAAGTTATAACTTCTGCTCATTGTTCGTTTCCGATATTCTCTATCTGTCAATTTATTCCTATGCTCTCCTGTTTCAGTTGTTCATCAAAAACTTCATGAATTTTTGCCACTCATTTCTTAAGTAATGTTCTCACTAAAACTTGTCCAGAGTTTCATTTGATCCTTTTTATCCCGTCTACCCAATAAATGTCTCATTTTTATTCCGGGTTTTTCTGCGGTAAAAGCTTGAAACCTCTGGCCGTCATCTGACTATGAACCATAAACCAATCAAGCCTGTCATAAACTTCATCAATAATTAAGTTCTCTCAACTTGTGACTAGCTCATTTTGAGTTCAGCAGATCACATTGACATAGAAAACAGCAGGTGAGCGATTTAAACAACAATAGACAATGGGTCATGTATCAGTAAGTAGTTGAACAATAGACTATTATGTGGGTACACTATAGCCGCTCCGCTAAATCCTTTAGATAAGTCACTGAAATCGTATCCTTTCGAAACTGACGGTTGTTTGAATAGACGATCTCGAATAATGACAATGTCATTATAACTAATCTCATCTACCATCGGTCATATAATATGCTTTATCTTTTAGCATTAGCTTAGCTTAGCCAAACTTTCCATATCTGTCTGAAGGGATCAATTGCACTTCATATTCATATTTGTCTTGTCCTTGACTCAGAATCAACATATATCCCGTAGATACATTGGCAAGTCCTCGTAGATACTCGTAGACGATATGGTTAATTTAAAGCAATGCATATTCTCTCTTATCGATTATGTATTTATCCGTTCATATCTATCCATCGCAGCAGTCACACCCACAACGCAGTCAGCTTGTTATATCCTATGGTTGTTCATTGAATAGATTCACGATTACACATACATACACTAGATATATCCAATCCCTCTTTACACAGACACATACACAAATTTCATCACTATTGATTGGATTTGAAGCTCTCACTCATCACTCAGACGACGTCGTCATCATTTATCGATTCATTCCCATCTTATTTGTCATCATTTTCTGATGAAACTCGTCGAGTTGAACGCAGCACTCACTCACTGACGAGAGACTTTATTTGCTTGAATCGGCCGGCAGTCGTTTAGAGTCGAGTTGTTGAGTTCATTGCTGAAATGTTCAACGAATGTGTGCAAGTTGTTAACTCTCTAACAAATAGATTGTTTATGAATTGGATAAGCGAATCAAATGAATAAATGCTTATTTGCACGTGTAAGTTCGTGTTGTGTTTGTGTGTGTGATGTTAATCGCATTCGTTAGTTTGTTTGCTTATTTGATGATAGGTTGCTTGTCCCTGTGCGCTCGCTCGCTCAGTAAGTCAGTTCTCTCAGTCAGTCAGTTCTTATCATGTTCATTGCCTGACTTCCTTTCGCTACTTCGGCAATTCATTTCTTCCTAACATTCGTCGGCACTCGTACGTATATTCGTCTTCAGTTTTTTTTTTGTTTTTCAATTTTTAAACTCTTCTTCAGTTTCTTCAGTTTTTCAGTTTTTCTTCCAACTTACATATGAGTTTAACTGAAACGTTTTCTTTGGGTTTGTCGTCGAAAATCGCCACCTTCACTTTATTTTATTCTTCACCGTTTTATACTGTCGTCTTCGTTAGATCGATCGCGTTACGTCTCTCTGTATCATCTGAAAACGATCGATATTCGATCGATATTTAAGTTGATCCATCGATAAAATTGATCGCAAACAATCGATTGGTATCTTTTCGAAAGCATCATCAGCAAACCTTATTCTTATTTCAGCTCATCGATATAATTGATCACCTATCGTTCGTGATTGTCGTCGCAGTCACTGCTCGTCATCGTCATTGCTGTGTGAAGTCCGATTGAATCTCGTAACAGGAGCACACAACATCCCGTCAACATCTTCATCCACTCCACTCACTTCAAGAAGACATCAGCTTGTAACAACAACAACAACAGCACGAGTATTCTTGTATTGCAGTCATCAAACAGCAACAACTGAAA